TGAACCACCTCCTTTCTCATTCCACTTCCAGTGAGGTTCCAAATGAAAGCATAGTACACTTGGAGGATAATTCATTTCCATCATTGGTGTTCTTCATGATTGTAGCTCGGGGTTGAAAGATTGGTGAAGTTTTATCATAGACACTGGTCTGCTAGAGATCCTTGCCATAATGACATGCACTTGCCACAGAAATGATACTACAGAATGCCGTCATCATACTTGTACAATTTTTCCATTAGTACAAATGTAACAGCAGGCCTTTGGAATGGAGCTGTGGCTATTTTCACAAAAACAGTATGTCAGGGGTCGTGTTATTTTTTTCGATTTCACAGAACCAATTTGCTGGTTTTATGAAGAGTGCATTACTGTGAATACCAATTAGGGTCAGAGGTCAGCATCGACATGTAGGTGGCTGTCAAGCTCGATGTAACTGGAAAGCAAATTTGGCTTTCTGTATCTGCTCTTTGTTATGGCTCTCTGAATTAAAAGACTAATCACACCACTGCTTCAAATGGCAAAGTAGATGGCAAAGCGTATTCAAAAGCAGGGGTTTTAGCTTTCTGTATTGGGTTTTAATGGATTCTGTGCATGGATGGATTTGCTTGAGTCGTGTTTATATGGTTGAACCATCTTCACAAATGTGTGTGAGTGTTTGCGGGAAGGTGAACATGGAATGAAGACACAGGCTTGAGGTCAGTTTTTATCTATTCATCTGTCATTATCTAGACACTCTTTGCCCGGGTGATGTGCAAATAGTACAAAATATAAATATGTCATACTAGGGTCCAAATATGATCATGTATTATAGGACCATTATTTCTTCATAGATAGAATAGTCTTGCAAATGACCTTTTCCAAATGATTCAAAATAGCATTACATTTATGCAAGATCTGTACCTTTACTATACCATCCTGTGTGTCTATCACTCTGTCTTCGGTACTTATCATTGTCATCATGTGTCTTCTCTATCACCCCACCCTCCACAGGAAGAGAATGTTCTGAAATTGAGTCACATGTGATAAATTGAACTGCTAAACTTTGTTATGGAGAACATTCACTGGCGCAGATCTATTTTGGATGGCTGAAAAACTGTAAAATTACTTTTTAGGTACAGATGTGTAGTTTGTCTTTAATGCATAGAATAGTCAGTAGTTCCAGCTATATCTCATTTTATACCGAAAGATAATTTGCAGAAATCTGAAGTAATCACTGAGAGAGATAACAGGATTAGATTTTTACGTGAAAACAAAGTATTAACTAAGACATAAACTTCAAATAATCTTTGGCCCCAAGATATTTAATAAATTAGAGGATGGCAAGGACCTTAGAGAAGTGTATACAACTTGTCACACCTAAGGAAAATTGGTACTAACAGAAGATTTTGTGCCTGAAAAACAGTTTATATTCATCCTTTTTAGTCCCTTTTGTATTTCAGGTAATTATAATTAGGAAGTGGATGCTTTTATTGTCTCAGAACCTGTATCAGTCACTGTGTCAGTCCCTGGAAGGCATCTATATACAGCTCATGATATACTGTAATATATGTAATTCCATTTTAGTAGTCTACAGTGTTTTGAGCTGAGAGACCATCTTACATAGTGAACTCATGATTTTTGCACACCATTGTAGAACACACTGATGCTTGCTTATGGTGTTCCTTCTCCTTCAAGAGAGGACATATTTGCTGTAGGATGGAGGTTTTTAAAAAAAATGGCATTTCCCTGGCTGATGGATTGCAGGTTTTAGAGTCGTGCTGTAAGGCGCGGCGGATTTTTGCAGCAGTCATCTCGTGTTCAAATAGAGGAAGTAAATAAATTAACTCACCAAGCACATTGTTGATGCATGATAACTGCGGGGGAAATAAATAAATAACTGGGGAGAATAAGTCATGTGTTCCGATTTATAGTTTATGCACGGCTTTCGCAAATCTTGCTGGCATTCTGCTGATTGGAGCAGCGGCAGATACTGCGGGGAAGACAGCTAGTGCGCGTTAAAAAATGGCTTTTTTACGCCTGAAGAAGCGATGACACAGCAGTCATTCTTGTGCCAGCTGGTATTAGATATCCCGATGAAGGCATGGTGGCCTGTCAAAACATCTGCTCCTCTGTCTGTGCCTCTTTGTCTTTGAGAGTCCACAGGACAAAGCCTTTGGTCTGGGTGCTTTGGTCTGGGTGCTTTGGTCTGGGTGCTTTCTGACTTCTACCAAATTGTGTGTGTGTGTGTGTGTGTATAAATATATATATACACACACACACACACACACACATAGACACTACCAAAATGTGTGTGTGTGTGTATATATATATATTTATACACACACACATATACACACACACACACACACACACACACTAGGACAATGAGAAAAAGAGTGCGAGAATCCTATCATGCTGAGTGTGGCTTGGATGTGCATGGCCAGTCCGCAGCTGTGAGTGTGTCTGCAGTGTAGCAGAGCGGAAAGAGGGGGCGGCAGCTCTGGGCAAAACATTTTTCTGACCTCTTTGACCGTGAGGTCTCTGCTTGAAGTGAAGCGGGGCAATACTACTTTTTTCTCCCTTTTTTTTTCCTATCAGAAATGCTATTTAATACAGGCTAAGAGCCTGAGTGGGACAGCATGACTTCATTATCTTAGGTTAATTTGCTTCAGAAAACTGTAACAGATAGACTTGCAGAAATGGTTGTTATGGATGGAAAATAACCCCTTTAAAATTGACTACTCTACTGGAGTTTACTCTACTGTGCCAGAGAACTGATAAATTAAGTTTGTTTTTATGACTTTCTGATGAATAGATGCTGATAACTTCAGAGGATAGTTTTCTGGGCCATTTATAGACTAAATTCTCTCTCCATAGATATAGAATTTTGTATGAAAACTTTACAGACACATTTTTCCTTACAGTTGAAACAATATAAAATACTTTATATACTGTATATATATATATATATATATATATATATATATATCTGTAGTTATGATATAATATATCATATATTAAATGTATTATACTGTTATGATATAAGCCCTGCAATAAAGCAGTTGTTACAGTCAGTTCTCAGTTATTCAGAGAACCAGTCAGACCCACTGAAGACACGATCAGTTATGCAGTACTGCAGTGTGTATGTGCAGTATATTTAACATAAAAACAAAAATACCATGAGCTGCCCTCTGCTTATGTCCAAGGCAAAGTCAAACCACATAACCTGGTATAAGGAGCTCCAAACCTGGACCCCTGAGAAATGGATCAAAGCTATAGGGTCTGATGAGTTTTCTTTCACTGTTTTTCTATATTCAGATGGGTTAACATTTGGAAAGAGATGAAGGATGCCTTTAACCCACAACTTCTGTTGCTATGGGCAGCCATATTAGGCCTGATGGTTGCTATAGCCAAAACATTGTTCCTTCCTATGTCCCCATATTCCAAAATGATAATTCCCACATACACACTGTTAGACAAATGTAACACCAGGAGGAAGTCAACCGCCTTCATCTACAGTTATCCCAATCTCCAGATCTAAACATCTTTGAATGTTTATGGGAAACACAGGAGTGCAGGGTTTGTAGTTCACAACTGGCTCCTTCTTCCCTCAAAGATCTGGAGAATTTTCTTCTTCAGGAATGGCTTGATATCCTACTACACATGATTCAGGACTCATGTAACTGCTTTCCAAGAAGGACTGATGGTGGTATATAGGATAAGGGTGGTCCTACTCCTTACTAGGTCCAGGATATTAATATATTATATAAAGGTATTTATCTTGTTTTGCCTACTCCCTTGCATATACCCACACACACAATTCTGAGGTCTATATTTATTGTCCTTTACATGGAATTAATGTTCATACACCAACAGGGCTCCGTGTTGCTTTTCTGCTGTGACGCTGTAAACAAGGCTGAATCACTGAAGTCATGGCTGCTCTTCCTTGAGCCCTGGGTAACAATGTGTTTTCCTTTGACTAATTGACAGCGGATGAATAATCAAGCGTGTGCAACTGCTTGTCACATGCTCAGCAAGACATTCTGGTGGCGTGCGGCTGCTGTCTTAGATTACATTATTGAGCAGATGCCTATACGCTCTGAAAAGACCAAAACATTGATGTGTGACGTCCTTTCTGAAAATGGCGAATTGCAGAGATTGCTCTCATAATCTGCTACTGGTGCTGTTCTGTTCACGTTTATCCTCACTGAGCCTATAATATTTACAGCTGTATTTATTGTAAACTTGGGCCTGTTAAACTGTACCAATAAACACTTATATAACTGCTGAGAAAACAACTTAAAGGGAAAAGTGATCACATTTCCTTGGTTTATAACATAAAGAGAATAATTTAATGATAAATGATATATATTTATATACATACACAAACGTATATATTTGCTGATGTGACTGAATAGCTCAGCTGTTTTGAATATGTGGCATTTGTTATTGTCAATACAGCTGGCTACCTTTGTGTATAAATAAATTAATTTCTAGTGTATATGGGCACAAGGCTTCCTTGCAGATTTGTATAGATTCCAGCTTTCGCTGACAGCATTTGGAAATTGAGTTTTTTTGTTTCATTTTTCTGTCAAATACAGGCTGCTCACTCTTAGTTTTCCAATAAGCTTCTTGTACACTAGGGCAGATATGGGTAATCTAGTTTTGCTGTAGTCTAATTAGCTACCTCCTGACCTACTCATGATGACGATTGCTATGATGTCCACTAAAAACATTTTTATTTCCATTATGAAGTATTCAGATTTCTAGCATATTTTAACATGCTCTGAGTCAGCTTCTTATCATGCTGGCTCCCTCGTTCACTACAGATGCAGAGGACAGCAGCTTTCATTACCTGAGTGAGCACCCTGACTACACTCCAAATCTTCCTGGATGCATGGTTGTGTACACAAGCAGAGCTATACACAGCATGTTTCACTGTGCAGGCTTCTGTTCGTTCCAGCCAGCATTTGAGTGATCCATTATCATAAGGTAATCAAGCAGAGGTATTTTATGAACGTCAAATGTTACCATTAAAAGAAGCTTCATTTGTCTACAGCATAAATAGGATCTTTTGCTTGGGTGTTACGTATCGGGTATCGGCCCGCTGCAGCCGCTACGCCAGAGGCCCTGCGCCGCCCGCTGCGGCGCCCCCTGCTGGCCGAGAGTTGGAGGTGCCCGCTGCTGCGCCCCCTGCTGGCCGAGAGTTGGCGGTCACTGCTGCACCGCCCGCGCCTGAGGTCCTGCCATCTCCACCCACGCCTGAAGTCCCTACACCCACTGTCTCTGCTCCGCCCGAGGCTGCTAGGCCTCCACTTCCTGCTCCGCCCGAGGCTGCTAGGCCTCCACCTCCTGCTCCGCCCGAGGCTGCTAGGCCTCCACCTCCTGCTTCGCCCAAGGCCCTGGCTCCTGCTCAGGCGCTGCCTGCGCCTGTTGTCCAGGCTCCGCCCTCGCTGGCCCAGTCTCTGCCTATCCCGATCCCTACTCTAATTCCCCCAGCCCTGGTCCCAGTCCCCGAGGAGGTCCCAGACAATCTGCCCACCGCTCCTTCCTCCTTGGAGGAGGAGCTCGAGTGGGACCCCTCGGGGATCTCCCTACTGACTCCTTTACCCTTGCCCCAGCGAGGCCAGTACCCACGGAGACCCTGCCGTTCAGTGTCCCATAAGGGAAGGGGACACAAGCGCAAGGCCAGGGTTCCGCCTGCCTTGCCCCATGGCTCGCTCTCGCTTGCCTTGGCTGGGGCTCGGGGGGTGCCTGCGGATCCTGCAGCTCAGGGTCGGCCGTCGCCTGCGGATCCCCCTTCGATGCCTAGTCGCCTGGCCTCGGTCCCACCTCCGCCTCCTCGTCGGTCACCTGCTGGTCCCCCTGCTCAGGCGCGTCGTCGGACGGCGCCTTCCCCGGCTCTGGGTGCCCCGTCGCCTGCTGCGGCTTCCCCCTCCTCCTTTCCTTCCCTCGTGCCCCCTCCGACTCCCTCCTTGTCCCCTTCGTCTGTCCCTCAACCTGTCTCCTTGCCCACTGCATGGTCCCCTCCTGCTCCTGCCTCCCTGTTGCCTGCGGCCCCTCCGGCCGCCGCCCGTCACCCGCCTTGGCTCACTCGGACTCCCCTTTGTCCCCCGTCCGTTCCTATCTGGCCTCCCTTGTCTGCTCCTCGTTGCTTTGTCCCTCCTGTCTCTGCTCCTCATCCTCCTCTGGTTCCTTCGTTCACTCCTGGCCCTTTTGTTCCGCCTGTCGGTGTGCCCTCCATGTCTCCTTTCCTGGTCTGCTTGTCTGCGTTCCCTGTTTTGTGTCAGGTCTTGTCCTACTTCCTGTCCCTGTGCTT